GGGGGGGGGGGGGGGCTGGGTTAATCCTAATGTGACAGTTCTTTTTTTAAGAAAATACATTTCATTGTTGATAGTGCTATATCACATTTTGGGTTCGTGCCCACAGCTACATCATTCGACCGAAGTCTGTGGTATTATATACGTTGTATTTTATACAATAAAACATTTTTTGGATAAAAGACCTGATTTGAGAGCGTTGGCAACGGGGAAAAGGCATTTGATTTAATTGGCTCCCCCCCCCATTATCGCGCCCCTCTCTCTCTCTCTCTCTCTGTGTGTGTGTGTGTTTAGTGTATGTGTAGGGGAGGGTGTATGTCGTTATCACGCAGTCCTTCCATGCATTGACAAGGTACCGATGTTGTTTTAAAATAAATTGTTATGTAATGCATAAGTCAAAATCATGAGTTTGATTTTCTATATTCAATTTCATTTGCTTGAAGCTGTATTTGTTGTTCAGATTCCATTTTTAATTTAAAAATTATTCTGCATTCGTTCTTTTCATTATTTTTTCTTGTATATGATTTTTAGGTAACAATTGCTTTTTTATAGATAGAGTCATCCAGATTTGTTCACGATTCTCTAAATTAGTGACAATACCGCTAACAAAAATGCCTTAATAAAACCCGTCCTCTAGCGCGCTGTTTCCTACGTAAGGACTCCTATTTACGGTTTTGATATGCACTGTTTGAATTTCGCGCTTCGAACGGACTGCGACGGAAGTATGATGGTGATGAAAACGAACGTGCCGAGATGTAATGTAAATTCGAAATGCTAATAGATAAAGGAGTCTCCAGATTTAATTTCAGTTTATTTTCCATGAAAGTTGTTTGGTATCTTATTGATTCATGTGCCGATATACAAAACTAAAACACTGGCCATTAAAATATTAATGAATTAACCCTAAAAGTGGAATTAATATATATTTAATACTGTAGAGAAAAAACTACTTAAAACCGTTTACTGTCCTTTAAAGTCAACAGTCTACTATTACTGGATAAAAATTTAAAAAGAGAGCTTGCTGGATGGGTGGGATCCCCATAATTCGTTTTGTTGTTTTCTCCATTGTCTTTGATGATACCATCCAGTTGGGGGAGATCTCTTCTACTTATTTTACTTGCAGTGTTAATGACGTTGGGGTGTTTTCCTCGTTCCTCCACTGTAGCCAACAGATGCATTAAACGTTAAATACTCTCAATATTACACGTACAAAAGTTAATTAAAACAAGTTAATCGGGCTCATTATCTGTAAAAGTTGCAAGTGATCTAGAAAGCCGTTTTTGTCTAAAGCAAGTTTAGTTTTCATGTAAATTCCTAGGAGTTTGAACTATATATCTACTGTATTTTAACATGAACATACTGGAATATAAAACCGAAAGTGAAGTTATCAGTAATTGCACCGTATGGTAGGGTACTATGTGTGAGTATGATCGCATTCACAACGAGTTGAGCCATGGCTCTACAAATCCACGAACTAAATATTGCGGACGTACATGAAAGAAAAAACGCCTAATCTTTTAATAGTCTCTCCACCTTTCACACGAATCCCCACGCGTCGTCCCTCCCAGCGGGGGTACAGTCATTAAATCTCGGCTCTATTCGCCATGCGGAAGCTACCTGAGAAATATTAAGTGCGCATGCTCATCAATTAAACAAACTCGAGGTGAAGAAAGCATGGCGGCTGGAGGCGATCGAAGGAAAAAAGCTCTTCTGTTCTATTATCTTTCAAAACAGAGACGAAAAAGGAATGAATTGGCCCGTAGAGCAGCAATGAATCGGCTATCTACGGAGGTAATGTCACCAAAGATATTCACGGAGATGTTCACGGAGATACCCAGCCCCAGTAGACAGAGGAGGAGGATGGCAGAATTTTTGCGTATGCAGTCTCGTCAGAGGGCGCAGTTCGTTCTTATGCTGATGTTTGCCTTGTTCCCCACACCTGATCGAACTGTTTGGATGAAAGAAAAGTAGGTGACATGCGTCATTTGATTTGTTTTGGTGAGCGAATAAAATTTGCTTCAAAAATTAGAATCAAAAGAAATGAAACCAAGCGTACGGATTCCATAATTGCCCATACTCGACCCAGTGTGTAGCCTCAATGATATCGCTAATGCTTTCGAGTTACGGGACCCAGATTTTAATTAACCAGAATCGGTGTATTTTAAATACACTGCTACTCGCCACTGTATGTTAGCACTGGTACATGTAAATCACTTCATGCCAGTACCCCTGGTGGATCACTTTCCAGACTTAAGATTTTCATACTTTTCACATTTATTATTAGCACGACAATTCATGCGTTAGCACTAACTATAACTAGCTAACGCATGAATTTTTGTGCTAATTTATTATTTGCACATTATCCCATTAGTATTTACTTTGGTCTTATTTTGCACAGTTAAAATATTTTTCTATAGGTAGCCAAAATATCTATACCTCGATGAAGGAACGTCTAAAGGTGTTGTCTGTATCGTAAAAACTGGGTTTGTTTTTCTTGACATAATTTCAAAATTTACATTTTAGATCAAGCCACTGGTGGGAATATATAGTGAATAGGACTTTTACGGATGGAGATTGGATGGAAAATTTCTGCATGAAAAGAGCAACATTCCAGTATCTTTGCCTTGAACTTCGACCTTTTCTGGAGAAAAACTCCCACAGGAAGTAAGTGGCGGTACATGCTTGAGGGATAACATGAAGAACAGAAATGCATGAATATGATTGCCCATATTGTTTGCAAAAATTAAAATTTACTGTGGTGTCTTCTTGTTGACCTAAAGGCTAATGACAAATAGCATGCAATTATACAGTCATGTTACGTTATTTGTTGTATGAAAGACATATGACCGATTTTGCATTTGTGCAAAATTCAGTTCCAAAGTTTTTGTTTACAAAATTTAGCTCAAGTTGGAGATTATTCATAAAAATGTCTGTAATATTTAACAGTAATACAACTAAAGTGGGAAAATATTATGGAAAATTGCTGCCATTATTGAAACTTGTAAGGCTAAATATTTTTATATTTATAACCAAAATTGGGGAATTGTCATTATACAATATTGTGCAGTAACAACTCAATTTTTTGTTATTCCTAGATGTCATTCAGTAGAACTCAGGGTTGCAGTGACTCTGTGGATATGTGGCTCTGGTATGGAATACAGAAGCATTGGGCATTTGTTTGGAATTGAGATATCTTCAGCCTGCACCATTTTTCAAGAAACTGTGCAGGCCATAGCCACCCATCTATCTCCTAAGTTCATTCAGATGCCCACTGGGAGAAGACTACAAAATATTGTGGAGGGATTTGAGGCCAAATGGGGTGTTCCACTATGTGCAGGGGCTATTGATGGAACACACATGTCCATTATTGCTCCAAGCCAAAACAAGACTGATTACTACAACAGGAAATGTTTTTATTCCATTGTTAGTCAGGTAAAGGAGAATAAATATACAGCGTGCATGATTCTCTCTAGGATCCTTGGTCCTTTAATAGCCAAAAGGTGTCCAATAAGTACAGTTTACCTATTCCACTCCCACCCCTCTTACAAATACACATGAAAAATATCCTCATTACTTTACAACACTTTTTGGTGGTGCTAAGTTGTGTTATTAGAACTTCATAGTCTTGGAATGTGTTCAAATGTTGGGAGGTTGAGTTCAGCTCTAATTTATATGTGGCTTTTTTTTCACTAGATTTTAGAAACAGCATTTATTATATTATTTTAGTTTTGTCACATTTTGTATATTTTTTCAACTTTCCGTTACAGGTGATATGTGATCATGAACTAAGAGTCTTGCATGTGGTATCAGGCTGGCCAGGACAAGTCCAAGATGCACAAGTACTAGCACATACAAGCATCTTTCAAAAGGCAGAAAGTTGGACTTTATTCCCCCCGTCAAGTCGACTGATAAATGGAGTAGAAGTGCCTATTTTGATTATAGGTGACCCTGCCTATCCCCTCAAACCTTGGCTGTTAAAAGCATTTTCAGACTTTGATGTACTTACTCAAGCTCAAAAGAACTTCAACTATTGCCACACTCGAGGAAGAATGTGCATTGAGGGATGTTTGGGTAGATGTAAAGGGAAATGGCAGATACTTCAACAGAGGCTAGATTTTGAAACTGAATTTGCGCCAGTGCTCATCCTGGCATGCTTAACACTGCATAATGTTGTCATGGTTCACAATGAAGGCTTTGACCAGGAGTGGATGGACTTGGTGGAGGAAGATCGAAATCATAACGGATACCAACCAGGACATGACATGAGACAGTACGATGCCAAAGCCATAAGGGAAGCATATGTTCAGTATTTTAACAACAGATAATAAGGTGTCTATTTTGTCTTACATTTTTTAGTCTTTAAAATGTTAAACCATTAAGTATTTACCTACTAGTTTCTGCTTTTACAAACACTATTATTGAGTAATTCTTACTCCTGAGTATTAAAGAAATGGACTTTATGGTACATTATATAGTTTAAATGCAAATAAGGTCTTATAAATATTGCCTACAAGAAAAGAATGTATCTTAATCTGTTTAGAGTTTTAACATTCTTTTTGGGTTGCTTTGTGTTGCATTTTTGATACCAAAAACCCAGGTATTTGTTTGCAGTTCACTGGTATTTAACAGGGATGAGATGGCATTGTATCCTTGAAATTAATGTAGAGTTTTGGAGAGTTTGGATGTGCATTACTGAAGAACAAAAAGAAATTTTGGATTACGTGACTGTATCAAGCACATGAAATTGTAAAACTATTATTTGAAAGTAGATACAGAGCTCTTCTAGTTAACTGGATAAATATTAATGCTGCCATCACTTTCTGAATACATTTAATTAATTGAAATTGGCCAGAAAGGGGGCATTATGAGATTCAATTATATATAACCTTCAATAAGTCATTAGTGCAACATTATCTTTATGTATGAAGCTGCATTGACACACTAACCACTGTTAAGAATAAAGAAATTTGCCAAGTATCATTTTGAACTTGCAAAAAGCGTAAAATGTGTTGGCACAACGCAAGGAGTGTGTGTGCATGTGTGCATACATGCACAATCACATTCCATCAGTGTAATAAATAGATGCCTATTATATTGACCCTGCTGTTTTACCTCTCTCCTTCATGTCCTCTGTCACAGTTTTTGTCTTTGACATCAACTGAAGAATAACATGGAAACCATACTTGTTCACAATAAAGATATCAAATATTCAAAGATATACCTGGATATGTTTTTGAGAATTGTGTGTGTGAGACGTGATTTGAATTGTATTGTACATTGTAATGATTATTTCCTAAGTCTAATTAAAGAAAATATACAATTTCCTAGAGAATGTACGTGTCTAATTCTATTTTGAAATATCTTTAATAATATAGAATACTACGTGTTGCTGAACATGGAAAGTAATTTAACTCGTCACAGGCATTTGTAAGTAGCAGGAGCTCCAGATATGTAAATAAAAACAAATCTGCAGATTGTCACTTTTGAAATTTGTATCGGCATCTTGTTCAAAATAAAAACCATCAACACAAACTTGTAGAAAAATGTATGAATATCAGGGTGGTATTATTGGGGAGTGGGAGGAGGGGTTAGAGGGGTCAAGGTCAGTCTCAGCATCTCTGTGACTTAGGTGTATCCTTCCGTGGTTTAGTGGTCGCCTGCCATGAGGATTCGACTCCTGGCTTGTTTGGAGACATATGAGCTCGATTTCTGTCTTATGAAATGTACTAGTATATTCTTTACATCTACTTTTTGGGGAAGAAATTTTAAGCTTATGGCAGCTGTCTACCACTAGAAGTCCAGCATAGGGCACTTTATGTTGATCTTTGTTTTTTTTTCCACCAAGTGAAATAAAATAAAAATTTATTCAGCCAATAAGAATATCAAAATATAAATATCAGAAATTGTTTTCATTTGAGAGGTCAAACTAAATAAAGAACTGGACATTATAATATTTATGACCTAGGCTGAAAAGAAGAATTAATATTAGATACTGCAGAGAGGCAAAAACTACTTAAAAAACCATTTACTGACCCTGTGTGTTAAAAGTCTACTATTGCTTGGTAAGAATTTTAAAAAAGAATTTGCTGAATGGATGGGACCCGTCCATAATTCCTTTTGTTGTTTTCTCCATTCTGTCTTCCAAGATACCATCCAGTTAGGGGAGATCTCTGGTTATTTTACTGGCGGCGTCAATAACATTCGAGTTCTTTTCCTGTTCCTCCACTGTAGCTACCATTTATTTAGGGTGATCCGTGAAGCACTTCATTCACGTGACTTGTAAATTTTTGAATTGATGATTTTATTTCCCATGAACTTTGATCACCCCTCCCCAACAGTATCCTCATTTAAGAAAAGAAAGGAAAACAAAATGTATATTTTATTCTGAAATTACGAGAATGACACTTTAAAGGTTTTTAAATATAATTCAGTTAAAATCTATTAGCTGTAAAAAGATGTTGAGAGTAACTTTACATCCACCAGCTCTTGGCTGCTATCATATAATTACTGCTTTCATGTACAGTTTTACCAGCTGTTTGACAAAGTTTTCTTATAATAAACTGAAAGCTTACTTAATTATTATACAATTAAGACAAAGAGACAATCAAAACTTATTTAAAAAACATAATAAATCTGTCGTTTTCAAAAATACTACTGCAATTTCCTCATTTCTAAATGTCTGAAGTTATTTGATTTATTTAATAATAATAATAATAATAATAATAATAATAATAATAATAATAATAACCATTTATGTTCTTGGCCTGCGCCTGAAGCAAGACGTGAACAGATTCAATACCCTCCTCCACCGAGATTGGTGGCAATTCTTTGGAGCTGAAATATATAAGACAATATTACTTACTACGATTCAATAATATATGTTTACTATTGTGAGCTATATGTATGAAGNTCGTAAATTTTTGAATTGATGATTTTATTTCCCATGAACTTTGATCACCCCTCCCCAACAGTATCCTCATTTAAGAAAAGAAAGGAAAACAAAATGTATATTTTATTCTGAAATTACGAGAATGACACTTTAAAGGTTTTTAAATATAATTCAGTTAAAATCTATTAGCTGTAAAAAGATGTTGAGAGTAACTTTACATCCACCAGCTCTTGGCTGCTATCATATAATTACTGCTTTCATGTACAGTTTTACCAGCTGTTTGACAAAGTTTTCTTATAATAAACTGAAAGCTTACTTAATTATTATACAATTAAGACAAAGAGACAATCAAAACTTATTTAAAAAACATAATAAATCTGTCGTTTTCAAAAATACTACTGCAATTTCCTCATTTCTAAATGTCTGAAGTTATTTGATTTATTTAATAATAATAATAATAATAATAATAATAACCATTTATGTTCTTGGCCTGCGCCTGAAGCAAGACGTGAACAGATTCAATACCCTCCTCCACCGAGATTGGTGGCAATTCTTTGGAGCTGAAATATATAAGACAATATTACTTACTACGATTCAATAATATATGTTTACTATTGTGAGCTATATGTATGAAGTAGTTAGCTAATATGTATTTAAGTATTTGAATGATCTAAAGTAGTTATACTTATTTAAGCTTATGTGCACAATTTATGTAAAACTGTAGTTTAGAGAGCTTGTAAAATGTAACTGTACACATTTTAATGCTCAATAAATTATTATTATTATTATTATTATTATTATTATTATTATTATATAACAATTCAATAAGTAGTCAGTGCCACATCATATTTCATGTATGGAGCTGCATTGTAACACTTTTACCAGTATTTGGAATGAACAAATTTGCCAAGTATCATTTTAAACTTTCCAAAAGCACAAACTGTGTTGGCACAACATAAGGAGTGTGTGTGTGTGTGTGTGTACGCACATGTGTGTACATACACAATCACATAATAAATATATCCCTATTCTATTGGCCCTACTGTCTTACCTCTCTCCTTCACGTCTGCCATCACAGATTTTGTGTCTTTGATATTGACTGAAGAAAAATGGGGGAAAACAAATAAAACCTGCACAACAAGGATTCAATATGTTATTAAATATAGTCAAAGACACATTCAAAGTTTTAGATCCCTTAATTAATTAATTAAATTTCAGTGTTTGTGTGTGAGTCTCCCCCCTAAAGTCCATCTGTGTGTTTACAATTTTTAACTGTCTTAAATGAATCCCTGTTAAATTGTCCTAAGCTCATTGTCTTACCTTTTTCTTTGATGTCCTCAGCATCTGACTCAATCTTTGTGTCTTTGATATTGTCTAAAGAAAAAATGATATCAAATAAAAACTTCATATTCCATGTCTGCGCTTGTCCAAATAGGATTCAATAGTTTAATACAGTTTGTTGAAGACACATCCAAATGTTTAATTGACTTTAAAATAAATAAATTTTTTAAGTATACTTAAGACTTTGCTTGAGCAACATGCATGCAGTGTGTGTGTATGTGTGTTTGTTAGTGTATGTGTGTGTGCACGGATGTTTCAATAGTATATTAAATTTAAATTGTACCGAGATTCCTCTCTTACCTCTCTCATCCATACTTAGCGTCTTCACAAGTGTTACATTGTTCTTGTCTTTCACTTTGGTATCAACTGAAAGAACAGAATTGAATTGAATTTTCAAGACAACATTATGTATGTTCAATCTTTATACACAGCAAAGGCATTTATTCTTTAGAAGATAAAGTATGTTCTTCAGTCTGTCAAAGACCAGACTTTGCTTGTGCAACATGCATGCAAGTACAGTACCTTTGA